AATTTTTTACTTTTGACCCCCCAAAGTACCAACTAGATTCACTTTCTGATCGAACGAGGTACTGAAGTCAAAAATCGAAGCATTTTTACTGCCCCAAAATGTGATGACAGACACAAAAAAAAAATAAAAAAAAAAATAAAAACACACATCATGGTAAAATCAATACATTCATCGCTCTGCTCAGAATCTAAAATACAGTTTAAAAAAAATGTTATTTTGCAACATGAAATTTTGTAAAATTATTATTTTCAAAAACGTTAATAGTTTTTGAAATATGGAGTTTGTTATGTTAAATGAATTACTGAGTATATAGTATAATAAGTTATTTATATTWCCTTCTAATTACTATTACCACAACCATTGAACATTAGTTTGTGTAAATAGTAAGTTACAATTTAAAACATTTAAGTTCTAAATTTCGACAAACTATAAAAATCTTTTTTAAACCAGATAATATTTACTTGAATATGAATAAATAGTTTTATCAGATTAAACTTTATTATATATACCTTTTAAATATTTGTATGTTGTTGTCCCAGAAAAATTTAATTTTTTGATTCCGTTTGTTTCTCTTCCAAAAGCATTATATCTTAATTGTAACTCCTTAGAAATTATTAATGAAATAACTTTGAACCCAAGTCATATTTAGCCCCGCCCCCCAATTTATAAGTGCCCTGCAAACTATTCAAAATTCAATAATTTTGGAATTTGATTAGTGTACTTTTTTTCTAGTATTCATATACCTATATGCATTATATAAAAATTTAAGATTAAAAAGTAATCAWAATTWAAATTTAAAATAGGTATTAAAAAATATACGTAATTTGGAGATTATGTAACTTTTCACGCCATGTTTAATAATATTAGGTATAATATGATGTTTTCATGATAAAATATAAATACAATAGGTAACCACATGACATATCTCGCATTAGTGTGGGACTAATATCGATTATTGTTTCCCCAATTCTAATTTTAGAACTCGTTCGTCTACATTGTCTTCGCGATAACAATAATTGCAGTATGTACTATGTAGTATGTAGTACGTACGCTTCGCATCCGTGTGATACTTTGTTGTTTAGACTTATAGTTGTGTATTAGCGAAACTCTAGTATAATTAGTATAATTATTATTACTTTTCTAGTTTTCTACATTATTTTTACTTAAGCCGGACTCAATTTTACCGGCACCTTTAACCATTAAAACTTTTTGTTAAAAATTAAAATATTATATACATATTTAATTGAGTTATCAGTGGTAAAAATAAAAAGGATGGAATTCTTCTATCATTCTTTCATAAAACAAGTAAGAAAAACAATGATATTATTGGCACTGATAAATGATAATTCAAATGTAATACCCGTGAAAACACCAGAAACTTCTATAATTTTGAACGTAGTCAGTACCTGCATTGATAAAATACAAAACCGTCACTAAATAATTTTGCTTTTATATTATATTATTATGTATAGAGATTAGAGAGCATAATATTATTTATTATTGTACAAGTTTATTTTGATAATATTATTATGTTTATATGTATAAAAATAGTTCGGTCGTCTGCGTTTCACCGGTCGCCAATAGTTGATGCCTATACCACAGAATATAACAATACTATATTATAATATTTATTACATGACATGTTTATCRTCGAATATTATTATTATGCATCAAAACTGTAGACGCGATCTATGAAATCATAATAACACTAAAATTACGGTTTTCAAAATCTACATTGAAATGGGCTATCTATTTGTCTTTAATCAATGGTACCTGTTGATAGCATTTTACGTAATAATTCGAAAAAAAATTAATTATAGTATTTATTTATAGATCTCATTTGATGTATTGATATCGGATACAAAAAATATTATTGATGATCTAGGCACCAAAATGTCGGGTACAAAACAGCCACATTTACAAGTATTTCCGTTAACTACRTTTAAGAAACAAAACAGAGCATTTTCATCAATTTATTATAACAAGTATAATTGGATTGAATATAGTGTGAAAGCAATTGCTGTTTTCTGTTTCAACTGTCGACATTTTTCTACTAACACCCAGGGATGTAGTGGGTATGCGTGAGTATGTGGCGCATACCCAATTTTCAATTTTGTAAAAGAGAGCATACTAAAGAAAATAACCTGAGACCGGAAGTATGCGCTGAAAAACATGCGTATTGGGTATACGTATATATATATTTTTTTTTTTCACAACAATTGTTTTAAACTAGCTGACAGAACTATTATTATATTATGTATTAGGTAAATAAATATACTTTATAATAATATTAATTACATTGTTAAAGTTATTATAATTTAAAATCAACTTAATAAAATAATAACTAATTATATGTTATTAATTTATATAAATGAAAGGAGGTGGAGGTGAAGGGGTTGATGCAGGACGTAGCCAGACCAAATAATTTTCTGGTGGGGCAAAGCAAACTTT